GGTTTGCATTTCCCTTTTTTGCCCTTTATTTCCCCGTTTATCGCTTTTTCGTGTTATTCTGTGATTCTAATTTCCTTTTATTTTCTTGTATTACTTTTTTATTTTATGTTTTTATAAATTATTTAAAATATGATGAACAATTATCAAACACATAATAAATACTTTTTAAATACGTGATCAACATTTTTATAATACACATGATAGAGTTTGTAATACATGGTGAATATTTTTCAATTTTTTAAAAAAATCTTATAAATATTTAAACTTGCTTTAACAATATTTAATACGAACATCATAGTATGTTTTACTATTCTTACTATGACAGCACTTTTTTGAACCGGGTAATCTATATGCATTTTTACGAAAAGGAATGGTTGTTTGCCCGACAATTTGCGGACTCACTCAGCCATCCATGTAACCCATCGACCACTGCAGTTGTGATACAAGAAAATCAAGCCCACCTGCCACCGATCAACTAGAAAAGATGGCGCATTGAAGGACAGGCGTGGCTATACCTCGGTTGCTGCGAAAGGTAACGCCTCATCGCCTCAAGGAATGCCCCCCTAATGGGCTGGTGCAGTGACACTTTGTTCATGGGTTAGTTTACCTTTTTTTTTCATTTTTCCTTTTACAGTTTTATTTTATATATTATAAATACATATATCCCATAAAATACTTTACTTCAATTTTTTTAAACATTCACTGCACAGATAAAAAATGTCAGATTCTCAACATACAAAATAAAAAATGCCATGCAGTGAAAAAACAGTGTTCACCCATGCAAACAATGTTCATGCAACCGATATGAATGTTGATGCAGCCAGAAAGTATGCATGACATTAAAAAAATGTTCATGTATATCAACAATATGTTAATTACGTTTAAATTTTCTAACACAATATAGAAAAGCCCGCGTAATTTTAAAAAAAAGTGTATCTTCAAAAAATAATGTGATATGAAAAAATCATGAAATTTGTGAAAATTGTCCCTTAAATGTAAAAGCATTTGTACAGTTAAAAATGTTTTGTTCAATTAAAAAAGTGAACTTGTATTAAATTTTTTTTATGTTTATTAAAAAAGTATTTAAAAAGTGTACATCATGTCTTTGAAAAATGTTCAGCGTTGTTCAGAAAAAATGTTACGGTGTACACGAAAAATGTACAACATGTATTGAAAAAGGTTTTCATTCATTTTTAAAAAAAGAAGAAAATGAAAAAGAGAAATAAATTGAAGCGAAAAACTTAAGAAACACAAAAACTGAAGAAAGAAACATAGAAAACCGAAGAAACCTAAATTAAAAAATCGGGGGAAAGGAGTAAATACAAAAAATGAATGAAATTGAGAAGCATCCATAAATCTCGCAGCGGGTGAGAAACAGCCCGGGCGGCCACCTTTGCTGCTTGCCGATCGAGGGTGGCGCCGCGCCCCGCCCGGCTGTTTCCCCCTCAAAGCAGGCAAGACATACCATGCCGCCGAAGCGGTTGGTGCATGATGCAAACGAGCCCCGTACGTGGCGTTTGCAAAACCTGGTCGATCGGTGCCGATCCGCGTGTCCCGATCGACCATAGCTTATGTGTTGAGCTTGACGTAGCTGGAGCTCGGAGGAGCCAAATTAGGTTGGCTGGGGAGCAAGCTGGCTAGCCGGACGGATTCGCAACGGCTTGCGTATGCATTTGTGTGAGCGGTGACGAGTACCGAGCTCAAAACAGAAAAAGAAAAAAAGAAAAAACAAGGAACGAGTGTATCACGCACGCCTAGTCGCGTATGCATTTGAATTTGAATTTGATAGATCTTCTGCGTGTTGTTTAATTTGCTTACTACAAAGAGTGTATCCACTGACAGCTCGCCCGTTGGCCACTGGCTGCATGCATGCATGCCGGACTGTTTCCCCGTGCATTCGTGTCGCCCAATTTCCTAGAGCATGGAAACTCCCACAGTAGTACCACAATTCAAACGCTTGATTCGCATAAGGCCATTTTTTTGTGTATATGGGAAGATGTAGAACACTGATAATGACAACTTGACACGGTGACAGTCTCACAAAGGTGATGCCAGCTACTTTTGGCAAACTTGCTTAATAAAAAATACATACTCCCTACGTCCCAAAATAAATGTCTCAACTTTGTACTAACTTTAATATAAAGTTGTATTAAGCTCGAGACATTTATTATGGGACGGAGGGAGTATTAATTAGCACCTTCCATCAAATGAAATATACTTTTCAGTACTACCTTCCGCCAAAATGCTAACTGTCCGCTGCAATTTCGCTAAATACTAGCCATCATGGGCGGGCATAGAGTAGGGACGGTATCTGGTGGCTTTTTGTTGGTCATGCAGATGTCCGGACTTTCGTAAAGCTTTCCCACATTTGCCTTTGATTTGCCGGAAAGAGTATGTCCAAACTGCTCGACCGACTAATGCAGGACCACGTTTGATAACAAACTGAGTCCAGACACCGCGGTCCGGACGTTTGCGGGATATTTGACGATCCGGCTTGGAGATGCCCTAAGATATAGCAGTCCTATGTATAGATCGGCACCGCATGCGATTCTCGTACGCACTTACTGGCGGCCACTGAGGGATGGAAAGGAACAAACTTCACATCACGTACAAATCCACAAGAAGAAAATAATGCCAGGAACTCTACTTCCAGATCACTTCACTATAAATACAGGCACGAAGCATTCGTGCTGCCTCACACGAGCCACCGAAGCACACCCTAGCTTGGCCTCACTTATCCTCGAGCACACGCCAGCAGAGGTTTCAGCCATGAGTAGCCGCCGTGTTGGCCTCCTTCTCCTCTCCCTTCTGGCCACCACCCTCACGTGCAGCGCGGATCCGCCGCCGGTGCACGACACGGACGGCAACGAGCTGCGCGCCGACGCGAACTACTACGTCCTCCCGGCCAACCGCGCCCACGGCGGGGGGCTCACGATGGCGCCGGGCCACGGGCGCCGCTGCCCGCTGTTCGTCTCGCAGGAGGCCGACGGGCAGCGCGACGGCTTACCCGTGCGCATCGCCCCGCACGGCGGCGCGCCGTCCGACAAGATCATTCGGCTGTCGACCGACGTCCGCATCTCCTTCCGCGCCTACACGACATGCGTGCAGTCCACCGAGTGGCACATCGACAGCGAGCTGGTGTCGGGCCGCCGGCACGTGATCACCGGCCCGGTCAGGGACCCCAGCCCGAGCGGCAGGGAGAACGCCTTCCGCATCGAGAAGTACAGCGGCGCGGAGGTGCACGAGTACAAGCTCATGGCGTGCGGGGACTCGTGCCAGGACCTCGGCGTGTTCAGGGACCTCAAGGGCGGCGCATGGTTCTTGGGCGCCACCGAGCCATACCATGTCGTCGTGTTCAAGAAGGCGCCGCCCGCCTGAGGTGCATGCGGCGTGATGGCGCGCGCCCGTAGCGTGCGTGTGTGCATCTGAATAAGGCGGGCAGAAACAGTGTGCTGTTTTTGTCTCTCTTAGAGAATAAGTGTGGTGCTGTGCTGTCATCACTGCGTAGGCGGTTTCGTGAAACGTGAGAAACTTTTTTCAAGATGCCCCTGTGAGCCTCTCTGAGATACTCACCAGTCACCAGTGCCATGCCTGTGAGTTGAACCTTGGTGTAGCGGTTTCATCACAAGGAACCTAATTGACCATCTAAGATACGCTCAGATTGCATGACACATGAGAATTGAAAGGGCCGGCTACTTCTGGCACCCAGGTGGCTGGCTCAGCACGAATACAAATAAA